ACTCAGTTATGAGGCACATGTATAGGTCTAGACACTTTTTATTAGACAGGTTTAAAATGTTAAGAGCCATAGTTTTTTATATTTTATGAACTGGTATTTCTTTTACAATTGTATGTCTATTATATCTTCTGTCATTTAAAAGAAAATATATAGGCAAATGGTAAAAAAGGGAATTTGTTTTGTCACCAGATATAACTTTTTTGAGTCTAGGTGCTTTTATGCAGACAGACAGAAATTGGCAGTTCAGGGGCCTCATTTATAAAGGGATATACGCTCAAAAAATGGCGTACGCCAGTTTCTACGCAATGTTTGCGATTTATAAAATACTAACTTGACGGGAAAATGTGCTGTCCTCCACGCAAACTCTAACCCATGCGTACGCACTAAGCACACAAACGGGAGAGACGAGAAACTGCGACACCGTTGGCAGAAGGAAGAATGGAGAGAAATATGTGGAAATACTACCATAAATAAAATGTTACCTCTCATTTATCAAATATGAAGAATTCATTTTCAAACATTGATTAAAGCCAATCTTAAAATGATTAAACAAACGCCTGTTTGAGACTCCTCAGTGCACACAAAAACATAACTTGGAGAAATAAATAAATACGGATATGCTATTTAAAACCACCTCGAATATGTTGTGTTAATGTTATGAAATGTTTTCTCATAAATGATGCGGTAAGCAGGAGGACAGAATTACGTCTAAACTGACGCCGTTTTGCATTTCTATAGGTTGTAGATACGAGCATGGTTTTATATACTATCACGTTTAATCGTGTTTTATGCCGTTTGCCAAGACTTGATAAGTCGCTCGTAAAACACAGGAGGTATGGAAACTAAGAACAACATATGTGGTAAATTGTACAGCTAATATAACACAATCCATTAGTTGTATTTCCTTTAACTGGTGGATTATGGATATATAGTTGCTGATCGACAGCTGGAACACAAACCACCAAATACAACAAAAATAATTCAGATCCAGTCGTCATGACTCCACTCCGGAGGGATTTCCCGATCATTTCTTACAGTTTCTCATCAAGGGGGTGTCTCCTGTCCCCGGGACAAACACACTGCCTGAGGAAGGTTATGTGTATTTTTTTTGTCATTAACTTTTTTCGGACCACTTATTTATTTATTTTGGTGACGATCCGACCTCCATGCTGCTACTCTGGTTCAAACTGCATCCACCAAACAATATGATTTATCTCGACCTCCCCACAATAACCAAAATCTGACACGGTGTGAGATGTCTTTTTTAGCTGTTCTATCGTAATTTCCTGCGATCTTCTTCATGCAGTCAGTCAAAATGAATGAATGAATGGGCGTTTCTTTGACTATGTATAGGCAAATATGGGCATTACGAGTCGATTGTGATTTATAAAGGGAAACAGGCGTAGGGAGTGCCGTACGCACTTCCCTCGCCGGTACGCAACGTTTTGTGAATCGGAAAATGGCGGAAAATGTATGTACCTATTTTTGTGCTTTGTACTACGTAAGCAACCTTCCTACGTCAATCCTACGCAAGGCGTTATAAATGAGGCCCCAGAACATCTGAGTAAAGGTGTCCTTTCAGAGAAGAAAAATGACAAACTGCACATTTCCTGGCTTGACAAGTGTTTATCCATTTGCCCCATTGATGTATTGTGTTGTATACCACTTAACGCGGAAGGGTTTTAGTATTCATCAACACATATTGAAACTCTTAAATCAAACAGAATTGCAGGGAGGTGTTTGAGTGGATTGCAGGCTGACAAACTGCATACCCAAGCTAAATGTGTACTCAATTTATCACAGCAGTTCATCATTAGAGAGGAGCATCACTTGTATTCTGCATTTTTTGGGGGAAACATAATAAGGGTACTCATCATTTTGCTCATAATTGTTTTCACATTTTAAATCACAAATAAGCCATTAATGCTAATAATAACACTAACAATCATTCTTCTAGAGCAATTGTTACTGAAGAGGGAAAGCAGGCTCTGCTAAAAAAGTAATGCATCACTCAGTGTGTGGTGTCATAGTTGTCACACTGAAATATTTTGTTTGTATTTCAGCATTGCCTGACAGTTGTAAACCAGAATGTGTGCCAAAAATATATCTGCGATCAAAGGTGACTGACATCACTTCAAAAAGCAACATGAACTGTTATTTATCCAAATGCTTAAATCATTTATATGTACCTTTCCCGGCAAACTAACCTTTTGTGGTTGTGATAATAATAACTCTCTCTTCTCGGAAACAAAGGTGGAAATAGCATAGTGCTGTTTAAATGTCACAACACTACTTAGGGAGGAGGCTGGTGGCTGGTTGGGTGTATTAAAGGTCTCCTATTATGCTATTTTTAGGCATATATTATGGGTCTCAGATATATAAAAAACATGTCTATGATGTGTTTTGCTCAAAATACCAAACAGATCATGCATTTTAGACATCCCTCATATCCCTCTATTTCAGCCCTGTTAGAGAATGGCTGATCTGGGTCCTTAGCTTGAAGAAAAGAGGAGGGGGAGCTTGTGCCTGCTCAGAATTCTACCGAGATACTCATGCTCCCGTGATTAAACGCCATCATGTTCCGAACCATGTCAAGGATTATTTCTGAAACAGTATGGAGCTCAAATGCTTTTTCTCTTGCGGGTTTATCACAAGGTGAGTTCCTTTTTTTATTTCCTGCTTTTTTACACATAGTCTCTACAGTACAGGCTCTGAGTGTTAGCGATGCTTGCTAATGTAAACAAAGACCATATTACGTCCAAAACACTTGGGCATTGTTTCTGATAGCAACGTTTCTGATAGTGCCGTGGGTCCATATTTCCAATATTACGTCATATCGGACGCAAATCTGGATCAGCTCCGTTGTACCCCCGTTTTTAGAGATGTGGGTATAGGAAAGAGAGAGGGTTTTGTTTTCTGACACTTTGTGAGTTCCCTGACGCACCGGGGACACATATTTATGTATAAAAGACATCAAAAGTGAATTTTGCATGATAGGTTCCCTTTAAGTGACCCTAACACCAGAAACCCTGGCTTGCATGTTGAATCTTTAACACTTGTCAACCTTAACCAGCTTACCTTTACACCACAGAGGCTGAAGACTGGATCATTTTAAAACACACTGACAAAGGCCTGCAGTATTCTGCTACAATTCGAAGACTTGTTGCATCAAAGCCAGAGCCACAATTTGTGTCTGAGGTCCAAACTCTGATTTTACATCTCTGTCCCATTTTAAAATCAGCTTTACCGATTTTGGCTTTGGCTACAAAACAGTAATGCAAACCACAACAATCTAGCATCCACTGCCATTTGGACTCTTGATCACTTTTAAAAATAAATCACTGAATTTATCTTTCTGCTTATGTAATTGGGATAAGACCCTCATGCAGAGTGTTGTTTCCTCACAAAAAAGTATATCGATTTACATTCATAAGCCCCTATTTCCACCTGTGCAGTTGAGATATAAGGGACTATTTATTTTTCATTTTTTCTCTCTATAAGGGGGCGAGGGCACTTTGTTAGACATGAGTCATTTCCTCATGTTTTCTGTCTATTTTTATTCAACACAATATGCAAATTACCTGCAGCTCAATAATATTGCATCTGATTTTGTCTACACATTACATGAATTGCATATTTAAAAATGATTTGAGAAGAAGTAAGTGAACAAAATATGATTGTGGTTTCTTCAGTAGATTACATTTATCGTCCCCAGACAACCCTTTGCAGTCGGGACTCCTTGAATTTGAGATAAACTGGGATGAGAGTTGAAATGAATGATTTTGCATTATCAGTACATGCCACTGTGGTGGTTTTGAGAAATAAACTTTGTAATGCTAGTTAAGGTAGGCAAATAATAAAATGTATATTATAAGGTCAGGGAAGTATTTTGTTTTTGATAAATAGTAATGTCTATAATTACATGTTAATGGTGGGATACAGTCGCTGGTATCAAGCATGAACAATATGTGCCTCCATCTATTGTACCACCCTGGCACCCACAACCCTATTCCCTGCTTCGCTGCATAAATGGCACACTAAATCCTGCTAGTCACTGAATTCACCGGATGTAAAGTGGGATGTTAGAGAGACTGGCTCCAGTTGACCAGAATGCATTGCAGTCTGCTATTCTGTAACATACAGACCAGGCAGTTGCATTTTCTGGCCACTTAATCTGCCACAGAGTTTAATTCACAAGCATGGCGATCACATATGGTTTCCTGAATTTTGCCCATGCATCTTTGAGAAAGCTGCATTTATGGCATTAAGGGTAGAAATATTGGGGGTTATGGTTAATAGAAACTGTGTTATTTACAAGTTTGGTTGGATATAATTGCTCACACCAAAGTCCTCATTAAAGTGCTTATTCAATGGCAGCTGCACTTGCATATATTGTATAACAGGGCTTATTGGTTCTTCACACCTTTTTTATTATGTTATTTTTACCCACAAAACAAGGCCTTTTAGAACAAGGTGTACTTTGCTGGGTGTCACCCCCCTTCTGAGTTTTTGACGACTGAAAGAGGCTTACATAATTTCTCTTTTTTCGTACCTTGCCCATGATTTATTGATTTCTCATATCTTGAGGAAATGTTCAGGGTACAGCCACAGGCAACATGTCTGGGGCTGCATATATGTTTATTCTATAGAGGCTGCCTCCAACTCACTTCATTTTCTGACAGCAGGGACTGTTCTCGCTTGACTGAACACGACATTTTGGATGGCAGGTGTGATGGGTCCGGATGACAAAGTTCATGATCCGGTCAGTCCGGTGTGTCGGCTGTCTTTCACCGGGTTGCTGCAGCACGTTGGATGGATGAGAAATTGCGCGGCTGTGATTGGCCAGGCACTCGGCTCCCGGCTCCCAGCTGGTGAATAGGCTCCCTACTTGTCATTACTGTTGCTCCGCTTCACAAGCCCATGAACACCACTGGGCTCAGTGTCCGCCTCTCCTCGGACTTGGAATTCATATAACATTATCCAAAGCGGCGGATCGCACCATGGATGCTACTATTATTCAGATAATATTCGGGGAGCTCGGGGACCTTAATTGTAGTTTAGTAGATGCTCTCCAAGACACTTTTTTGGGGAACGCTTCATTGTCCTTGCTGAGCACTGATGGTAAGATGGAATTTCTTCCCGTTTTCTTGTCAATTATTCAGAGGTCTTGGATACCGGAAAGTATTTAAGCTTCCGCGTTTTTTATTCTATACTTTATTCCCCCCCTAAGGTTTTTTCTGCAATGCCACAACCGATGAGATTGGAACATGCTGGCCGCGGAGCAGCACCGGGAGGATTGTGGAGAGACCCTGCCCTGAGTACATCAACGGGGTGAAGTACAACACAACCAGTAAGACATTAATCCGTGATGGCAAAAGTTATTTATATGGATAACATGTTTTGTTTTGTTTGCACATGATATTGCATTAAAAATCCTCCCATATGTGCTGGATGTAAAAGTAAAAGCATAATATTATTTTGGATGAAAATGCAATGTCTGCTCCTATAAGCAAACACACTCAGCAAACAAACTCTAATGTGTGTTAGTGCACTGCACTGTATGATGTTGCATGTGGAATTTGGTCGAGAGCAGTGGTGAGTGACAGTGAATCTCAATGATCATTACACCTTGAGTCACTGCAACAGCTGCATCACATGAGCATGTGTGCTGTTTGCTTAGGAAAAATCTAAAAGCCCTTGAAAATCATTAAAATGTGACGTGATTACATTTATAATTCTCTAATTTGATCGTTTCATCAGATTGTGTACCATGCCAAACTTGCTCTTGTGATCATTCTATAGCAGTTTGCAGTTGAGTTTGAGAACATTTATTTTTTCAGAATACTGTGAAAAATGAATTTTCAGTATTTACTGTATCAATAATCTGACACAGAAGGGAGAATTAAGTCATAAAAAAACTCTTCGCAGGCTGTTATGGAAGACAGATCGAGTTGACCAGAATGCATTGCAATCTGCTCATATAGGATTGTCGGCTTCATTTTCTGGCCACTTAATCTTCCACAGAGTTCACAAGGTCCTTGGTGGACACATATGTTTCTCTGAATCCAGCACATGAACATTTTAGAAGCTTAATTTATGGCATTGAAACTTCCCCATGACCACACCTGTCACCATCGAGCCATCAGCCTATTTGTTGTGATCGTGACCAGATGGAAATCCAATGGTGTGTTCAAATGAATATGTGGTTTCTGGTTTGAAGTCAGCCCGCAGCTGATGTCAGCTTCACCTCCACATTAAGTCTTGACACCAAGTTGCAGCCAAAGTCACTGGAACTATATACAAAGACCATTTTGAAATATTTTTTTTAAACAATAAGCTTAAGAGAGGTTTTGTTATCAGCTGGCTTGAAAGACTGAGCAATTCTAAACCCAGTCTGTTTCAGCCAACAGTTTCACCAAGTGCTGAGAACATATCACAACTCTCCATGTCACTAGCAGTGTCACGTTATGTAACTTGTGTATTAATCATGAGAGTGATGAACTGAATTGACACATTCAGAGACTTAAATTGCAGCTTTAATTTCAGTAAATAACATCTGAAAATATCAAAGCAAAAAGGGTGCGGGTGACAGTTTGAGAGTGCATGTCCGAGGCTATATTTCTCATTTAACAAGCTTGTTATCACTTTAATAAGCTCATGTGCCCGTTGCTATAAACTACTTATCCCCACCACACACACACACACACACACACACACACACACACACACACACACACACACACACACACACACACACACACACACACACACACACACACACACACACACACACACACACACACACACACACACACACACACACACACACACACACACTCACACACAGCCTGTTGTATGCCTAGTCACCTCTTACTGCATTGATTCCCCCTTTGCTCTGCTGCTGTTGCTACATATTGTTTGGCGTGTCTGGTGGTTAATTTCCCTTGGTGTGAAACGTGCAGCCATTTGCCATGACATCATGTGCCAACACCTGCTCTGATGTATACCTTCATTAGTTGACCCCCCCGAGGATCGATGTGAATTCATATTTTTTACAGGCTGAGGATATATTGTGGCAAATTTGCAGTTGTTAAAAATGTTGGTCAAATGTATCTCATCATCAAACAATGTCAAATGCAACATAATGGCATTTTTGTTTGCTGGAGGTGATGACATAATTAGCTCCTGCTATTTTAAAAGGATTTGATCAAAGAGTATAAGAATGAAAGAAAAAACGAGCTCTTTTATGGAAATGAAGTCACATTGTTGCACAGATTGCAGCTCTGAGGTGGAATGACGCAGGTGACAGATGTTTTTGTTCCTTTGTGTCAGGCCCACGAGTAAAGTAATTATTATTATTAAAAGTGTCAACTTACTTTTACCACATTTGGACTGTGAACTGAGAACACATTTTATTTTGCTTGTCCATTAGAGCTCTCAGTGTCATTGCATTTTCCATGGACCACTATGGAAGTGGTTTCAGACAGGGAACAAAGTGATTTCACAGTTTGTCCACTTTGCAGACAATCAGACATAACTGAAAGTATTTTACATCTCGTTTCACACACTGACAGCAGTGTCTTGGGACTTTCAGCTGTCCAACTGTAGCGGAAGATGAAATACTTTTGCTACATGTTTTTTGTGTCAGAGCCACTGAGGCAGACTTGATCGGTTTAGCTGTGTGGGATCGATTGTCTTATATTAAAAACACAGGAATCACACAGGAATTTTAAGAAGCTGTTTAGTCCATGGAGCTGTTTAATGAACTTGTTATCATGTGAGCGAGCATTAGAGTCTCTATAGATTATGGCAGTGATGCATACAGGTCTTTATGGGAGTTTGATGGGATTGCAGTGTTTGAAAGATTGAATGCCTTCCTTACTGCATGCATTGTGCTAATGTGTCTTAGGCACTTACAGTAGTGGAAGGGAGGTTTAAAGAGGAGTCTGAGTTACTGGAAGAAAATAGTTAAACATTTTGGGAAATAGATGTATTCACCTAGTTCAAAACAGATGGCCATACATCCTGCAAACAGCTGTATGGAATAACCACACATCATTTAATTCCATATTTCGGATCAAAGTGGACCTTTAAACATTATTCTCCACTATTGTTAGGCACAGTTTGTGCTGTTCTGGGCTGTATTGTATTCTGCGTTAATGGAGCTTAAAGGTTGGAGAAACTTACGACTGTAAGGGCGACCAGTTTGTTAATCACATTGAACTGAAAGATATGAAAAAGAAAACCGCAATCTTTGAATCGTATTGCATACAATTATTTCAAGTTACAATGTGTTAGTTATTATCAATTTAGATCATCTTTTTTTCATTTAATTCCCTGATATCTCAATATGTAAGTTTTATATGTACATTTAAACATGATATGAATGAATAGATAGACTTTCAAGTTCATATTTAACCATCTCCTGAGCAAAAAGGAGCATATTTGATTAATGTCCCCAGATAGAATTGTCCATGTTATATTTCAAGGACATCCAGTCTGCTATCTTCACTGTATTAGTGTGAATGTATACGTGGGACAGTATTAGCCTTTACAAAACTCTTTCATGCACAATTCATACTTAAGTCACAGTATGCTGCATGGTTTTACAACAAAGTGACATGGGCGCTGAGACAATGGACGCCAGTGTTTTGATTCTGCTGTGTCACTTTAGCAGCACCATTTTCAGCCACTGACACATTCAAATAAAAAAATCTCAAAATAAGTCAGACCAAAAATAGAAGTGTGGCCTGAAATCACATGGGCAGGTGTTAATAGAGGGTTGCAATTAAACACAGAGTCTAAAATCAGAAACATAATCTGATGTAAAGCAATAGCACACTGTTTTGCGGGGGGGGGAAAGCCTGAGTGGCGTGTGTGGACAGAGTCTAATTTTGGCCACATAGAGTATCTGACCTAAGGGACTAACAATAGATTATTTTCCATTTCTTGGAGTGTCTCACAACTAAACATTTAATGGGCCTGCATATTTGAAAAGCATGACCCAGGGTGTACTATGTTATATTCTAAGAAAAGCCCTTACTGTATGCGTTGTACTCCCAGTTGTTGAACACTGGAGAATATAAATGCTATCTTGTGTGTAACTTTGTAGGTTTTCCGTAGCACATGAAAATGAATGACTGAGGTAGTCTAATGTCAGCAAAATGTTCCAATTCTCTTACAAAAGCCGTACATTTCACAGACTTAACAGGCCCCTTCAGGTAAGGGGCTGTAAATCCGTCTCCACTTCTTCAAGCATATATAAATATTAATATCAGTGCAGAGTGGCTTAAGAGGTTTATGCATTTTTAAACCTTTTTTTGGCGCATTTATTCAGTTCTCTGGTTTACATGAAATGCACATCACCACAGTCGAGGTAGAGTTGTTTGAGTTAAGGTCATTCACTGTCTCTGTAGCTCTCTTCACGACACAGAGTAGACACAGGTCGGTTCTTTAAAACGGGCGTTTATTTATTAGAGTTTTCATCCCTCTTCCGTTACGCCGTGAGAACTACAACACCGAATGACACGTATACATAGCCAAACATATTAGCATATTGTGCTACACATATGAATGAAAATAAGAAAATGAAAACATAAAACAAATACCTCATTGGCCGCTTGTCGTGAAAGGAGATTCATCTTACAGTTCCTTTTCTGTATAACTTTGTCACATTAAACTTTGTCACATTAAACTTTGTCACAGACTTCAGCAGAGCTTCAAACAAAGACGTCAACCCACGTTGAGTTGTCCAGTGTAACAACAAAAAATGCAGTACCAGCACATGAACAAACATTAGTTCCTAGGCACAAGAAACACATACGCATATCGGTTTAACATGTAAAACAAACTGTATTAAATCATGCCATAATTAACGATTATAAAAATAAATAACATGAAATAAAGTATTTATTTATCTAATTGAACTATGACATTAATTGTGTTATTCTTTTTTAATTAACCTAACTTTGTTACGTCATTTACGGTCTCTGCTTTGTCACTTCTATGTGATGTGTTTTCCGTCAAGCCTCAGGCAAGACAAGATGTTCACAGCAGCAAAGATGAACAATATCAACAGCAACGTGTCAGTTTTTCTAATGCAAGCCATATCTTGGTGACCCATGTGCTTTTTCTGTTCAGATTATTCAGTGAATCACGCTTCTCCCTGTGTTTCTCCAGTCATTGTCACAGAGGAGACATCCTGTCAGCACACAGTGTACCTTTCTAGTCAACACAGCTTTAAATCAGAATCGCTGTTTCTACAATAGAACTTTATTGATTCTCTTATCAGGATTAATAAAGTCCAGGACATATCAGCGCCGTGGCGGGTATCAGGTTCAGAGTGAGGAG